AAAACCCTTCTCAATCCATTGGCCCAACACTTGAACACGAGGGTTAAGGCCTTGGCTATCAGCAACGTGACACTGCGATCGGGAATGGGGAGGTTGGAGTAGGGAGGGGGCGACGGGCGGTGGTGGTGGGAGGAGGAGGCAGGGAGGGAGAAGGGGATGAGGCGACGCCGGCAAAGAGGGAAGGGGAGGGAGAAGGGGAGGAGGTGGTGGGAGGAGGCGGCAGGCTATTGTAGTAGGAGGAGAGAAATGGAGAGAAGTGAGAGGTTGGAGAGAAATTGATAGATTTAGGATTGGAATAGATTTAAGGTTTTAATTTATTAAAATGATAAAAACCAGAAAAATGGAAAAATAAAGTGAAAACCAGATTTTTTAAAAACTCAAACTAAAGGCCTGGTTTTTGGTAATTTTCCCAAATCTTAACAGTACGACTAAGAAGGGGCCTAACAGTGAGCCATAAATTACAGGCCCAACACAGAGAAACCAAGTCCAGCCCCATTCCAATGAAAGAATGGCAGAAACACTCATCCTTAAACCCTTAGATGTTTATCAGTTCATTGTGCCCGCCCTCCAGAAGGCCAAAACACTCACTCTCTCATCGGGAAATGCAATGATGACTGAAAGCTAGAGAAGATTTCAACTGCTGTCATCGTATGTGCATTTTTTTCCCATTCATTTGTGATTTCGTTTAGAGTTTAAGATTGGTGGAAGAATCAGCGCAAACAAGTATTAGTAGCTGTATTTTCCGGAATTATTTCTTGTTTTGCTATAGAGGATTGTCGTTATATCTGGATGGCATCTGTACAACAATTTCTATCCACCGCTGCTGCCTCTACTAGCTGCCGCCTCTTTGTCATGGTGACAATTTCCCCCTTATCCTTCTTTCTTAGTTTATTATTAAACGTTTTACTTTAATTCCATTATATGTTCCTTTTAGAATGGCAATCAAGTAATGGAAAAGATATTTAATTTCAAATGTAGTCTTTTTAAGTGTTTAATGTAATTTTGTGAGT